CGTTGTGTATCTTGTTGTCTACTTCTTTTTTTTTTTTTGGCGGTTCCCTTTCCACAGATACCTTGGACGAGTTTAAGGATATGAATAAAGGCATGTGGAAGAAACTGCAGGAGAAGTTTGCCCCCAGGAGTCCTGAGGAGAAGCATAAGGCCTGGGCTCGGGCCTTATCGCGCCCACGTACCTAAGCGTGAAGTCTTGTACGTTGCCATCAATAAAACACCCTGATTTCCCCGTCCTCGTGGTTCAGGAATCTCATCTGGCCTTCACAGAAAGGAAGCCGTTGTTGCTCTAAAGAAAGCTCCAGCCTGAGAAGAAATGCTGTTGGAACATCTGCCCTGCCCACCTGTCTGGCTAGGACGGTCCCCACGGGAGAGGAAGTGCGGGGCTTCATCTGGGCCTGAGAAGGGAAGGTGACAGGGCCTCTGGGCAAGGTGCTTCCTGCATAGCCACAGGAGCCCCACCTGCCAGCAGGGGTCTGGCTGGCTCTGGGCAAGAATCTCAGGCTCCCTTTTGTTGTAGGCGCTCCTGGGAGAGAGCCAAAAATATTGGTAAATACTGAAGAAGGCATCCTGTTGTGAACAGAAAGCAGCAGGAGGTGTATGGCAGAGAGAGGTGAAAAGCCTGCTTGGCCCTCATCCCCACTGACTCAGGACAGAGCTCAGTCCTCTGCCCCTGACCTTGCAGAAAAGCCATATTCCAAGTTGGCTTAAGGGACAGCATACCTTAAACTACTGACAGGCCTTGGCTTGGAATTGACTTCAGCCCTCTGGGCAGGTTCTGTGGGAGGCCACACGACAGAGGCCTCCTGGCTGGGGATACACACAGGGTCAGAGTCATCTTATTACTCCACGGAACCTTGGTTCTTACTGATAGGTGTTTATAGTCCCCACCTGAGATTTCTTCGGTCAAGAACACAGCTGAGAGGAGGGGTAGGGCAGGGCCGACAGCTCCCCTGGTCAGGAAGCAGTGGAAGTGGGTTCTTAGCCTCATTTGTACCTGGACTTCTCAGTATGTTTTGAAATGCATAAAATAAAATACATAGGGTTATGACAGAAACCAGTTATATTGCAGTACAGTTCTGTGCAGGAATCCCTGTGAGACAGGATGTCACTCAGCATCTCCCAAGAGCCTGAGGTGAGCCAGGCAGGCAGGCAGGGCCTCCTGTTCTGTCCTCCACCAGCACATTAACCCAGCCCCTGGGGAGTATGGGAAACAGCATCCCTTTCTAATGGACTAGATTTCTATTAATTTATTTAAGGCAATTAACATATTAGTTCTCAGGCCAAAGGATTTGTAAAACATTACACCAAAGGGAAAAACAAGCAGTCAAAACCACCCACTTCACACACCCCAGCCCTGTCACCTGGGTGTGTGACTGTCCCCCAGGAAGCGGCAGGTCCTAGGAGCAAGGCTTTCCATCCTTGGGTCACTAGTCCACCTGGGGCTGTGCCAGAGTGGGTGGCCTAGACTCGGGACAGTGAGGTCTACACACTGTCTACAGCAGATCTGAGGCACGGAGGGAGCCGAGCAGCCCTGGCCAGGACTGAGCATGGCGTCTGAATAAGTTAAATAACAAAGCCTTAAAATCACTAGCGGCAGCATCACTGCACCCCCTCCAGAGGTGGGCAGCAACCAAAATGTAGTGCTGAGAATAAAGAGGTGACCCCGCCCCTACTCACCCACAGGAGGAATACAAAGGAATCGGTTGCTGTTCTAAGGGACAAAGGACTTATTTTCCTCTAAGGCATTAAGGTAAGCTGAGTCCCAGAGTTTGAGTCTTTAAGGGCTCAGTCTGGGCAAAACTGTCAGCTCTGTGGGTCCACCTCCACACTGGTCAGAGCCTGGGTTGGCTTGGGAGGTTCTGGCAGAGTGGGAGCTGAGGCTTGGGTGGGCACCTAGCTGTGAGAGGCTGGCAGGGCCACCTGACCCAGGGAAGAGGCAGTGTTGCCAGTCACAGCTCTCCAGTGTCGACTGCGCCGTGTCAGGCCTTCAATGGCGCGGTTCAGCGGCTCATGCAGTTCTGGACATCCACGAAGCCCAGGCGTTGCCTGCGTTTCCTCTGCTCCGTCATCTAGGGTTAACCAGAGGCCAGGAGGGCGGGTCAGGCTGCCCAGTGGAGGGGCTGGTGCCCACCCTCCCCCCGTGGACCCAGCTGCCTTTCAGCACTGGCGGCAGGCCAGGGCCCCCCCAGGGTGCAGTGAGGATGTCAGCCCCAAACCCTTGTCCTCAGTTAGCCTGTCACAACCCCCTGATTGGGTGCAGCTGGGAAAGCACCCCGCCTAAAAGAGGGGCTGCCTGATCTCATCTAGTCACTGCCAGATGGAGAAGGCTGCTCTGAGCAAGAGGGGATCTTGAGGCCTTAACCT